CGTAATTTCCAGGAATGAGCGTACGGTACGTAAATTATGGATAGTTTTGGGATGCTGAAAATGACCTGAAACGTGATTTAAATTATCTCAGATATTGAGAATTTCCAAATTTTATCGTACACGCACGCCCTGACGTGCACAAGAAATTGGCACAAGAAATTGGTCCTTGTCAAGTGAAATTTGAAAACACCTGTTGGTTGGTAATTCCAAGAAAAAACATTTATTTTTACCATGATGACGTCAACAAAATGTAAAAAGAAGTCACATATATAAAAGAGAATTGTCTCAGCTATAACATAGTCAAAGTTGGAAGACGATCGACCAGGGATAAGCGGGATACGCTCAATTTTCAGAAATGACATCGATAAAATTCAGTTTTATTGAATTCAGATTTCAATATGATGACGTCACAATGTCCGATCAGCCATTATGATCTATAAAATCATATCTACAACTCATATGCTTTCAGAATATGTAATAAAAATTGGGGTCACCTTTCATCCTAAGGAGCTATAACTGATTAAAAATAGGCCTGATTTTAGCATATTTTCACTGTATATCGGCACAAATCCGCGAAAAGATCCCTATGTTTGATGCACACGTACAACATTGCTCTTGGCCATAAGATGACCGAAAAGAATAGAAATTTGTGAAAACATTGTCAGGAACACAAAATATGTAAAAAAAAAAAAAAAAGGTAATTTCTAGCTTCTGTACGTGCTGCGCATGTAAAAATGCGCTCGTGTAGTGGAAAATGTAAAAAAAAATTGAAATTCTCAAAATGGCCTGAAACGTGCTCTAATTTAGTCAAAAACTGATTTCCAGCATTTTGAAATTTTGACACACGCGTGCGCGCGTGCTGAAAGGCTCATGCGTAATATTTCGGTACGTGATATTCAACCTTGACCTTAAGTTTATTCCTAGTGAATATGATTGAGAAATGACAATTGGTTAGGATGATATGATCGATAATGTAAAAACGCAAAATTGCGCGTAGATGATGTCACGCATGACCGAGCACGTTAAAAACCTTATTGTGACTATTCCATGCCAAGCCAAATGTTCGTTGAAGCGCTCATGTGCTTTACTCGCGGCAATTTTGAGATATCGTGCTAACAGATATTTGACAGAAATGTAGAATAAAAAGAAGAAAAAAAAGATCTCTGACAATAACAAGAGGTGATCCGCTAGGGAAGCGAATCACCAAATATTGAGACATATGATATTTATTGTCTAATATAACAGACAACATATACAGTGCTTGCTGGAACATTCACATAGTTGCGGGAATCATTGAAACTAAAGTATACAATGAGGTACAAATATGGTCAATGTTTGCATCAAAATTTATTTGAAAACAACAGGTAACAAGTGCTTTTGGTCATAGGCCTCAAGTTAATACTCTATGTGGGAGTGGCACAATTTACTTAGTAAATCAGATTATTTAATGCTTGTATTCAATTAATTGTGGGATGCCGAATTAAAATGAGAGTTTATGGCATTGGTGGACAAGACAAAAAGTAAGAATGCGGCAAGTTCACGAAACAAGTACCCTATTGGCAGATGAGATCTACAACGTCTGAATTTGCTTTAGTAGAGAAGAAGTTGTCAAGAAAATGGCACTCTCCCGAAAGTCATCGTCCTGATTATCCTTGTCCAGGTCATGCTCATTCCGATCATTCTCATCCCGATTGTCCTCATCCCAATGTCATCCTCCCGATCAGCGGTGGCGCCAGAAATTTGCCGATAAGGGGTCTGAAATGTCGTCAGATGAAGGTGGTCCAGGTTTCTGACAGGGAAAATTACTTCTGTAACTGTATTTAATGTCAAATAATATGTAATATTGAATGTACAGAAATATACACCAAGAAGCTAAGCAAGGCCTGAGCCTACGCCAAAGGTTTGAGCCAGGATTCAGTCCTTGTTTTGGTATAGCTCTAGATAAATGGTGACTCTTAGTAAGTGGAACCCCATGCCTACCGTATTTATCAGTGACATTACAAAGTATTATAAGGAAAATATTGTAATGTTTTGCCTAGCTAATCCTAATACCCATTAAATTGTTTGCTTGTCACAAACCACTCATTACCATGGGCTCTCCCTGCGAGCTACAATGCCATGCTTAAAGATGACGTGAGCACTGAAGCAGTGATTTGGGCGACCTTTGATATCCTGTCTGGGAACACTGCTAAGATGAAGCATTTTCAGAGTCTACAAGTGGAATTTCCTGGCCTGTTCTTGGTGATAATGGCTAACAATCTTGTAGCTAGCAGGATTTGAGTGCTTTCTATTACGTGGTCTTCCCGCTGGGGGTCAAGGGGGCATTGGTGCACTC